ATTTTGAGTAATATGAATAGTCTGACTTTTCAAAATACAGATACCAATTGTTACTAAGCAGTGTCCTGGAAGCTGGGTTTAGAGCTGTGGTCTATGTTCCAAGCTAACTCCCTCATATGGGCTGACCCAAAAGAATATCTAATGTGCCTTAGGAACCCAGAGGAGAAAAGTGGGCAGGGAATGACATTTTCACTGAACCTTGAAGCTTGGGTAGGAGTTGGTCCAACTGGTAAGAGACCATTGTGGGAAGAGACCCAGGATAGGAAAGGGCATTTCCTGTTTTGGGAAGGATGCTATATCTAATGTGGGGTGACAATGATTAAAAATGAGACTTTAAAGGAAGACAGAAATCAGTGTAGTCACAGATGTGGGTGCCAGGCTCTCGGGTCCGAACTCAATTGTGGAGGCAATGGGAGAGTTTGGAGGTTTTGAAATAGGAAATTTGCAAAGAGCTGTGGGTGACAGTGATCCTCTAGCAGCAACATGGGGACCAAAGGAAGGGAGCCCCGTGGGGAATAGCCTTTTGATGCCCAGGACACAGTGGCAAGGACAGAACTAGAGGACCAGCTATCCTGGTCAACTCCTCAGTCCCTAGCAAACAGAGATGATTGGTCACCCTAACCTGCTACTGCAGGCTTACCTACCCTGAGAAGTGACCCAGTGACTTCCAGGAGACTTTGAAATACCCACCCAATTATACCCTACCCTCTACCATCATAGGCCCTTCCTTAAACCACCATGCCTGGGTTGATTTTAACTGATTCTAGATCCATTGACCTCTAGACATAAGAGATTTTTGAGAAAAATATCCCCACTTACTAATTTCTAGCCTTTTTTCCCTATTTCCCTCCACAAAACTGAGGCTCCAGTTAAACTCAACTAGTTCCTGTGCCAAAACAAACCTTTAGACTTTTGTGTCCATTGAGCTACTACAGGAAAGGTCATGTTCTCTATTCTCTGTCTGCTGGAGCCTGTAGCAAATATCACCTCGCCACAAGTCAATACCAATTCTATAGAGAAGTGTCTGGGTGTTAGATATCTCCAGAGGAGCATCTCAAAAATTACCACTAATCCTCACAGCAAATAAATGTGACTAGTCCCTCTTTCCACGTAAGGAAACTGAGATTCAGAGAGGGGAAGTGTCTTGTTTAAGGTCACACAGCTACTAGCCTTCCCCTCTGTCTTCTTTGTAATTCTCTGGTGGCCCCAATATTTGTATTGATGATGTATGCACTTCTTTCACTCTCTACCTGCCCCCAGAACCAATCACACACACAATTGCCAACCTAGAACAAAACTAGACTACCTAGAATAATACTTACTATGACTAGTAGGACCACAATAGAAATTTGGTGAATGAAAGGACTATGTAGCCTGGTGCCTGGCATTAAATAGATTCACCACAAAATTCTTTTAATTGAGCTGTAGTTGCAACATATGATCAAATAAGAGTATGTCAGAGGAGGAATATCAGAAGAAAACACACTGTGGCAAAACTTCAGCTACCCAAAGCTTTCTGGAAATGAGTCATTCTGAATGATGAGGTTGAACCTTTGAACCCGGGAAGAATAATCCTGGGACTGTTGGTTTGTTTGTTTTTTCCCCTCAGCTACCCTCACTTCCACCACTCCTTCTGAGCTGCCTGGACCCCTTCGCCTTCTTTTCCTTTCATTCTTATTCTCTCTCTCTCTCTCTCTCTCTCTCTCTCTCTCTCTCTCTCTCTCTCTCTCTCTCTCTCATTTCTTGCTCCCTAGGAGCTTCTTAGCTTCACAACTTATCCCAGACTCCCCATTCTTTCTGGCTTGGCAAACTATTGCAGTCTATCCTGGATTGCTCTGTTGTGTCCAATACATTTCTGTTCATTGCAGCAGCTCCTGCCCCATCAAGCAGTGCCAGATCACCTTGGGCTAGTGGCTGTTTTTCACCTGCTCATCCCATAGTTCCCCATACAGGTGTCTCGGCTTGTGTCTGTCTACCTTGGACACTGGAGTGTGAATTTCTCCAGGGTTAGAATCATGTCAGCCCTAATTTTTTGCGAATGGAATTGGAAGACCTTTTGTACTTTTGGGCCACCATTCCTTTGGTACTGCTTTCTCTGAGGCAGCTAAATTTTTGCTTTCTGGTTGGTTGAATTGTAATTGGGACATATGAGTGCTGGCTGTTCAGGGTTTTTCTGCTGGCTTACTTATCTTCTTCTTGCTTTTTGTATACTCCCTGGTTCTTTACACTTGTCCATTTGGCTCAAAAGAATTGCAACTCACCTGGCCAGTATGGCTCAGCAGTTGAGCCCCGACCTATGAACCAGGAGGTCATGGTTCAATTCCTGGTCAGGGCAAATGCCCGGTTTGCAGGCTCAATTCTCAGTGTGGGATGTGCTATAGGAAGCCATTCAACGATTCTCTTATTATTTATGTTTTTGTCTTTCTCTCCCTTTCCTTCCCCTCTGCAATCAATAAAAAAAAAATATTTTTAAAGAGAGGACTGCAGCTCAAATGGTACTATCTGCTCAGTGGAGGAAAAGGTGGCCAATCAGAGTCTGGGCCAAGCCCTGTCAGTCACTCTTATTCAAATAACCAGGAGACCAGATCTTCATTTGTTCCACAAGCATTTAATTCGGTGCCTACTTTGTATCAGGCCATGAGCCACACTTTTGGGGGAACAGAAATAAAAATTGGTCTATACTTGCGCTGCCTCTGGTGTCCTATATGATCTTGAGTCCTTTCTAGGATGAAAGTGAAGTGGGTAGAGGTCTGATCTATAAGGAGACTTAGAGCTATCAACATTGGGCATCTTGTTTATCCTGAATACTCCAGCCCTCTTCACATCTGTGCTTTTGTTATAAGAGCCAGGCTTGCCTCTCTTACCTTTCTTCCTCCTCCCCTGCAAATTCTGAGTAGACATGCTCCAATACATCTCATCATGTATGTAGTCAAGTAGCCCCAAGAAGAAGCATAAGAACTGCTATGGGAAAGAAAGAAGAAGAAGAAGAAGAAGAAGAAGAAGAAGAAGAAGAAGAAGAAGAAGAAGAAGAAGAAGAAGAAGGAGAAGGAGAAGGAGAAGGAGAAGGAGAAGGAGAAGGAGAAGGAGAAGGAGAAGGAGAAGGAGAAGGAGAAGGAGAAGGAGAAGGAGAAGGAGAAGGAGAAGGAGAAGGAGAAGGAGAAGGAGAAGGAGAAGGAGAAGGAGAAGGAGAAGGAGAAGGAGAAGGAGAAGGAGAAGGAGAAGGAGAAGGAGAAGGAGAAGGAGAAGGAGAAGGAGAAGGAGAAGGAGAAGGAGAAGGAGAAAAGAGGAGGAGGAGGAGGAGGAGGAGGAGGAGGAGGAGGAGGAAGAGGAGGAAGAGGAGGAGGAGGAGGAGGAGGAGGAGGAGGAGGAGGAGGAGGAGGAAGAGGAGGAAGAGGAGGAGGAGGAGGAGGAGGAGGAGGAAGAGGAGGAGGAGGAGAAAGGGCAACATGTCATATGGCCATCTAGGGTACATTGGAGAATGAAAGCATTCCCCTGCCCACACATACCAAGAAAAGTTGTCTAAGCCCAACTCTGAAGAGTAGTATTAGTCAGTCTAATCAGGAGACCCAAGCCAGAGTTGGGGGGTTGGGAGGAGGAAAGGCAGAGTTTTGCTTACCTCCCTAGAGAAAGATAAGGAATCAATATTTCCTTGCACTTGTAGGACACTTGATAGTATTTTTGTATTTGATTTTCCTAGCAACCCTTTTAGTGACATTCAAAAGTGTTATTGTTTTTTTAACATCTTGCACACACAAGGCCTTATGCTTTTTTTATGACACAATCACAAATTCAAGTGTATAGACATTTTCATAATTTTTGTTTGTTTTTACAGTCTCCTTAACTAGACTGTACATTCAGTGAAGACATGAATCATGTCCATCTTCTTCCCCACTGAATCCTCAACACCAGAAATAGTGTACAGCAAAGAAAAGTCACTCAATAAATAATTTTAAAAAATGAGTCCAGCAGTCTGGGACCTGGGGACAATCTTTAATTTTGCAATGGTGGTATGCAGTAGAAAGCCTCTTAACCTGGAACCTAGTAGATATTCAATAGACAAATTATAGTAGCAGGAAACACTTAATGCCTATTGTGTACAGGCCCTGTGCTAAGCACTTCATATTCATTCATTCACTCACTTAATTTTCAGAACAACCCTATGAAGTAGGTATTATTATTATTATTATTATTGCCATTTTATAGATAAGGGAAACCAAAACACAAAGTTTTACCAATTTGTAAGTGTCAGAACTGATATTTGAACCCCAGCTATCTGGCTCTGAAGTCCATGTCCCTAACCAGTACACTGCCTCCCAACAATGAATGGTCAAACTAAGTTGTAGAGAGATGAGCAATTTCCAAAGGTGTCGTAGAAAAAACATAGTGGAGCTAGGACTGGAAGTTAGGTCTGCTCTCTGTGAAATGCTCTTCCCACTCTATCATATGGTGTCTGACCACTGATACAGAAACCCTGTAAATAGAGGCACAAAGAGGGATTTGAGAAGTATAGATAGCAGTGCAGAAAAAGACCAGGAGACAGGAGGGGGCAAAGAGTAGCTACTAGGGCAGAAACAAATGTAGTTTCTAGGTCCCCTTTCTTAAGAAGTGAAAGGTAACAGGTTGCTTTCAGAAGTCCTATTTAAGGCTTACGCCATTCTTTTCTCTGCACAAATTTATCAGGGACTCCCTCCCCACACACACGTAGCTAGAACCACCCCAAGGCCATTTCTGCCTCATTGCAACTGGGCACTCATGGAGAAAGGATATATGTATATTAGGGAGATTAGATCGTAGGATCTGAAATCTGATGTGTGTAGGAAGTTGGGGCGGGGCAGAGAAACAGAGAAGACTGGAGGAAAGTTTAGGTCAACCCTAAAATCTCGAGCAGCTAAAGGGACTCAGTGAAAACTGATTAAAGCAAAGCACCTGTAAGCACCTCAGCTTTAGAGACGCTGGCCTTCCGTTTGGGCTTCTTGCCACAACAGAACAGCACCAAGGTCATGGCCTTCCTCTCCCGACAGAATCTTCAGGAGATCCTTCAAACCATCTCAGTTCTGCAGTGGCTCCCAGTCTACATATTTTTAGGTGAGTGAACACATGGAAACAGGCCAAGAGAGAGGCCAGGAATCCACAAATGAGGAGGGCTCCAAAAAGATCATTTGGTTGGTACCCTCCCTCTCGGAAGGACTGTGCCTCCTCACTCAAGATATGGCTACTTGTTGAATTCACTGGATTTCTCTCCTTCCAACTGAGGGATGTGAAGGCCAGGAATGAGGCTGAAATTGTTCTAGTTTAAAGATCACCCAGCCTTCTCAAGACTGCCCCCTCAAGCTCAGAGTCAGATTCACGGACTGGGGCAAAGGTGTTGGTGGCTTGCAGCATTGGTGTTACTTAGGTAGGTGTAAGGTGATTTCCCAATATAAGGTAATGGTGAGAGAATTCTGAAAAATCTCAGGGCTTCCTGAGTAACTCATTAGACAGAATTTTGAGAAAAGACCAGTTGTTCAGTGGACTCCCAGTCAGAAACCAGGACTTTGTGGGTAGCCAGTTAAGGGGCAAGCTTAAAACTGGACAGGGAGAAATGTCATCCTCAAGGATGAGACAAGTAGGAGGCAGCCTATTCCAATCAATGGGCAGTTGGCTGTATGACCCCTTAGAGCAGAGGTTCTTAACCAGGGGGTTAAGAATTGGGGGTTGGGTCACTTTGAATTTGGATAGGGGAAAAAATGCCTCTTTATTATCACTATTTTCAAATAGAATTGATGAGTGTAGACCGCAAACCACAGAAGTGTTAACAGTACCTGTGAATGTGTTAGTAATAGACATCGCAGAGATGTTCACATCATATGCCAGTTGCTGAAGATATTTCATTTATGCTCATGACTGTTTCAAAATTCTTATAGATATTTGAACTACCATTAAGTATAGTTATTTAATGCATAAATCATGAACCCCATGTTACTATATCACTTTTTTTTGTAATGTTTCAATAACTGTGCTTTAATATGTTGAGTTTCATTTGTAAATCTGTATTTTATTTTGTGAATTAAAATATTATTCAGGAAAGGGTCCATAGGCTTCACTGGACTGCCAAAGGGGCCCATCACCCCCCCACCGAAAGATAAAAATTTATTGAGCTTTATTGAAGTCAAATCAAATCCATCATAGGCTTGACTCTGGTAATAAGAGAAGGAAGCACTTTTTCTGTAAATGTATTTGTTTCATATTTTCTTCTTGTTTTCCCTTGTATTCATCTTAACTTCCTCTAAAAGACCCCTTTGATAAGTTCCAGCCCTTAGCTAGGGAAGTAGGGGCACAGGAATGTCCTAAGAGACTTGTCATTGTGATGGCAGCCACCATTTCAAGTCTGGATCCCAGAAAGATGGAACAAAGAGAGCAGGAAGAGAAGGTCAAAAGAGAAAGAGCTGTGTGAGCTGTCCTCTTTAGGTGTTGGGTTTATCCCACCACAGAAAGCTTTTGTATGGTATTTGACACAAGGGCTCAGATTGTTCTGGCTCTTCTGGGGAGCTGTCCTCAAAAAATGTTCTCACTTTTCTCCCAGAAAAAAAGTTTATTCTTAAACATTTTTTTCTCTTCCTTTCCCCTCTCAAAGGACATTGTTTCTGGACAGAGATAGGGTAGAAGGCATATCCAACACTGAATATGTAAGGGTCCAAGAAGTTGAGAGCTCACTTCCTGGTAATGCCCACCCCCAATCTTATCAGCTTATAGTAATCCTGAAAGAGCTGGAGAAGTGGACTGAGGATGTCAGGGAAAAATGATGGCATTGATGTGTCTTATGTAAAAACACTAATAATAAATGTGAATGTTTTATTTCACCTGCATTTTTTAAAGTTTTTAAAAATCGTACTAAAATATACATAACATAAAATCTACCAACTTAACCATTTTTAAGTGTACAATTCAGTGACATTAGGTACATTCACAGTGTTGTGCTACTATCACCACCATCCATCACCAGAACTCTTTCATCATGCAAATATGAAACTCTGTACCCATTAAACAACAATCTCCATTCTCACCTTCTCCCAGCCTGTGGCAACCAGCCTTCTACTTTCTATCTCTGTGAATTTGACTACACTGGGTACTTCATATAAGTGGACTCATACACTATTTGTTCTTTTGTGACTGGCTTATTTCATTTAGCATAATGTCTTCAAGATTAATCCATGTTAAAGTCTGTGACAGGATTTCTTTCCTTTTTAAGCCTGAATAATATTCCAATGTCTGTAAATATCACATTTTGTTTATCCATTCTTCTATAGATGGATGTTTGGGTTGCTTCCATCTCTTGGCTATAGTGAATAGTGCTGCTGTGAAGATGGGTGTTCAACTATCTCTTTGAGACATGATTTCAATTATTTTGGGTATACACCCAGAAGTGAAATTGCTGGATCATATGGTAATTCCATTAAAAAATTTTAAAAACTGCTATACTATTTTCCATAGCAGCTGCACCATTTTACATTCCCACCAACAGTGCACAGAGTTTTAATTTCTCCACATCCTTGCCAACACTTCTTTATTTTCTTTGTTATAGTAACCATCTTAATGGATATGAGATGACATCTCCTCATTTTAATTTGCATTTTCCTAATGATCAGTGTTTTTATCTTTTCATATGCTTGTTGGCCATTTGTCTTGACTTTTTTCAATTGATTATCTTTATCATTCCATTTGTCTTCCTCTACTGGTTTAGGTATTATACATCCTGTTTCTATTATTTTAGTGATTATGTTAGAAATTACAACACGAATCCTGAGTGTTGGAGGTTATCAAGCATCTAATAATTGTGATGTGCACAGATGTACCTAAGAGATACTCAAATCAGTTCAGCAGTAATAGAGAAAATACTAATTATAAGACCTTGGCTGTCCATGCTCTTACTATCTAGTAACAAAGATAAACTCATTCCACCATTGTTCACCATTGTTCATTTTATGTTAGTGCTAGACATATGCATAGGTCACTACAATGTAGGACAGACTGTAGTAAGTGAAAGAAAGAGCCACAACAAATTGATATTAGGGTTTCAAAAAAGAAATTATTGCACTAAGTTGAGAGGATCAGGGAAGGCAGAAAAGAAAAGCAGTGTGGCATGATAAACAGGGTGTGGGTTCTGGAGTTTGTCAGACTTGAATATAAAACAATTAACTGTGTGACTTTAGACAAGTACTATAACCCCTTGATACCTCAGTATCTCCATCCTCTAGCCTGGTCCACAGTAAATGCTCCATACCCCCCCCCCCAAAAAAATTGTCCTTCCTCCCCCCTCTCCTCCTTTCCTCCTCCCCTCCCTTTCTCTTTTCCTTCTTTCCTTCTTTCCTTCCTTCCTTCCTTCCTTCCTTCCTTCCTTCCTTCCTTCCTTCCTTCCTTCCTTCCTTCCAATTTCCTTCTTTCTCTTTCTCACCCTCTTTCCTTTATTCCTCTGTCTTGCTCAGAGCATCACTCAGTAGTGTTTCTCCTTCCCAAATGATGTTCGGAGTCATGGCTAATTACTGAAAGTGATGGGAGAGGAAAATGGAAAAGGGGAAGAAAAAGGCAAAGAGACAAGAAGGAGGAAGGGAAGAAGTGAGAAAAAAGGAATTAAAAAACTGAGGGAGATGTGGAATATAAATGCCCATGACCCTTAGAATTAGGCAACCGTCCTTAGAGCTCCTATATAGAAGATGGCTTTTAATCTGTCTCTTCTTTTCTGGGCTTACTAGTATATCATGATCTACCTAAAATGTTACAGTATCTTCTTTCCTAGCACTCTATTCTCTACTCTCTACCCTCTCCAATCTACTCCACTGCCTGCTCCCAGAAGAGTCTTTAAAAAGCATCTTTAATTACAGCCCTTTCTTGCTGACACCGGTTTGGCTCAGTGGATAGAGCGTCGGCCTGCGGACTGAAAGGTCCCTGGTTCGATTCGGTCAAGGGCATGTACATTGGTTGCGGGCACATCCCCAGTAGGGGGTGTGCGAGAGGCAGCTGATCGATGATTCTCTCTCATCGATGTTTCTAACTCTCTATCCCTTTCTCTTCCTCTTTGTAAAAAAAAAAAATCAATTAAAAATATTTTAATTACAGCCTTCTCTTGCTCAAAAATAGTCAGTGGTTTCCCATCAATGAAGCATAAATGTGTTAGCTTGGACATTCAAGGCCCTCCTTTACTCTCTGGCTCTCTTTACCAGCTCATCCTCCTATTCTTCCCCTATATTAAGCTTGTCTTCCAGGCAATCTATTCACAAAACAAACACTAATGGTACTCTCCCACTGCCTCACCTTTGCTCTATTTCCTCCATTCTTCCTGGATTATCCACGGACAACCCTTCCTTTCAGATATTGCTTAAGTCACAACTTCTCTACAATATTTCCCAGACAGCCAGACTACATCAATTCTGCAAATCCAGAGCACTTTGTACAAACAGGTTGGGTAGCAGCCTTTATATTTGTTGTCCCCTTATACCCAATAAGCTCCACAAGAACAGGAGCCAGCCATGCCTTGTCATTATTATATTTCTCCTAAGATCAGACTTGACACTAAATTGACAATTCTTCCAGATTTCTGCTTCCTCAGTAGAGACCTTTAAGTCCATCTCTTGTTATTTTTTTCTCTCTCTCCTGAACATCTGTGTATGTGTGTGTGTGTCTTCTTTCTCTAGTTCCTTTTTTTTTTAATTTATTTTTATAAATATACATTACTTATGTTTTTAGTTTCTGATACTACAAAAACAGATCATTGTCTTGGAAGTCACACAGACCAGGTCTGCCACTTACTTGCTATGTGACCCTGTATATATAAGTCACTATTATTTTCTATGTGACTTTGAGCAAGTCATTCACCCTCCACCATTGTAGAAACAGAGCATAATACCTGCCTTTGAAGACCATTCCAAAAATCAAAGAAGCAAGAAAATCCTTAATAGATATTTATTTTCTTTCCTTCTGTTATAGAAGTTGGCATTAACTAGATCTTAGAAAATTAAGGAAATAGAGACTTTTATACATTGCCAGCATTCCCACAGGCCCCTTCAAAGCATTATTCACTAATCCTTTTCCTTCACCCCATACATACAATC